CAGAGCGACCCAGAGAGAACTGAGAGCAGGGAAGGGGCTAAGGAGGGATGGGTCAGTGCAGGGCTCCTTTGAAGGTGAAATGGGACAGAGCCGTGCAGATACCTTGGTTTGCACAGAGGGGCTAAGCATCTTGCCCAGGCCTCTTGGAGTAGGTAATGGAACTGACCCCAAAGCTGGGGGTCTCACTCCCAATGGCACAGAGTAAGCTTGCAAATCCCAGTCCCGGGACGCCCTTCCCAGTAACCCCACACCTGATACCGCTACTGCCTGCTACAAATTAGAACAAAGTAAGTCCAGCAGAGGCCAGACGGCTCCTCCTCTAGGCCCCTTGCGGACACTCACCCAGAGAGCTCCTCAACCACGCCAAACACCCCGCCGTAGCTCAGCAGGCCGCCGCCTCCGAGCAGACCTCCTGATCCCAGGAGGCCCTGGTTCAAGGATGTCACTGTTCCCAGCACATTTTGCAGAATGGGTCCCCCGACCAGCGAGTTCTGGATGGCTGCAGAGAGGGTGGGGGATAGGAAGAGGCTGGAAAGGCCTCCCTACTCCACCCACCAGGACCCAGGCAGCTGCCCCGTTCCTCTGAGACCCTGCCGGATATCATTTTTAAAGGAACCAACCCAGAAATGACATGCAGGTGGTGGCACCCACTGAGCCCACCCTGCCTGACACACGGAAGGTACTCAGGGAGTGTCTGAAGAAATAAATGCACCAATTGCACGCCGATCAGTCGCTTCATAGCCTTTCCCCTCCGATAGGGAAACTCAGGCACAGAGAGGGGTCAGGGCTTGTCCAAAGTCACACAGCAAATTGGGTATGATGAGGGCTCCCCAGTCCAGGTGGTCTTCAATACCAGAAGGAAGGACAGAGTCAAAGGAGAGCTGCGTACAACCACCAGAGGCGTGGGTCAAAAGAAGGGCCCATTCCTGCTCCCCTGGGGGTGCCCCAGCCTGGCCCTGCGAGGCTTTTGAGAAAGGCAAAATAGAAGAGACGAGAGAAGAGAGAATTGTCCTGGCCAAGGTGGGCTCCCTGAAGTACTTCCTGTTCAGGATGACCCTGCTCTTCCAAGATTATTGCCCTGAGCTGGGCAGAGTGGCTGCCTGGGGTTTCCCCCAGCCCAGCTATGTGGGGGTCGAGACACTGGCCCAGCCTGCCTGTTTCTCCTGGGCCTCAACTCTAATCCCATCCCCATTCCAGGGTCCCAGCTCAGGAGACAGTGAATTGATCCTCTATCTCCGTCTGCAAAGCTAACCTTTAACCACCTGGAGAAGCTCAGCTGCGTCCAGTGGCCCTCAAAAGCTATCAACCTGATTCCAACACACCGTGAAGTATACAAAGAGCTTCAAAAGGCTTGTGGGAAAATGGAATTAAAAGATGGTGAGATTCCCCTCCCCTCCCCCACCACGAACTTTTGGAAGCCCTCTAGTCTCCGTTCCAGTCAGACCCCTCCCAGGCTGCGCACACCTGAGGCTCACCTTTGCCGAGCTCATCCTTGTCGATCCGAGCGAGTGTGCCCACTGTCTCGAGCAGTCCGTGGCAAGGAGTCACTAGACCCCAGAGGAGAAGCAGAGAGCGCACGCCTAACATTGTGGGCCACACACCTATAAGGAGGGGAGGGAGCTCTCACTGCAAGCCTTCCCCTGTCCCCTCCCCATCACCATCCCCGGAGCCCTCCGTCCAACCTGGCACAGCCCATGTCCAGCTTCACTGCCAGGAAAGCCCTCGCCAGCCCAAGGCAAGTTGGGCTGACCCATGGGTGCGTGGCACCACACGGCTTCCAGAGCGCTCTGCAGTTTACAGGGCACCTTCCCATTTTACAGATGGGAAAACTGAGGCAGGGAGAGCCCTGAGGATTTGGCCAAGGCCACAGAGCTGATGGTGGTGGTGAGATGGTGGTGAGAATCTGAGCGGGTGTCCGTCTGACCTCCAAGTCTTCATCCTCTGTGGCCCCAATGAGGCTGGACTCCATGGGGAGAGTGCCAAGGGGCCGCCCTCCCACCCCCAGGACAGCAGGGCGGAGGCTTTATCTCCTGGGCTTGTTTGCCTGTCGACTTGCAAGGCCATGTCAGAGGGCGTGGCTGACTGGGGACACCCAACACTTAGATTAACATCTCCTGTCTCTCTCTCTTTCCTCCCCTCCTCCAACCCCAGTGTTGGAGAAAGGAACAGGGTGGGAGGCCAGAGGGTGTTCAAGCCAGGAAGCATGGCTCACATACTAGCTTCATGGAGTGGGGTCAATTCTTTCTGTAGTCTATGTCTGTCCACCCAATCATGTATCCATTTGTCCCTCTTCTCTCTTCACTTAAACCTTTCCTTGGCTCCCCACTGCTCATGTGCTAAAACCCAAGTCCTCGCAGTGACTCCTGGGATAAAGCCCACCAGGCCCCTGCCTGACTCCTGGGCCTCCTTGTTTTTCCTTATCCTTTTTCCCCACCTCAGGACCTTTGCACGCCCGGTTCCTTCTGTACAGGAAGGCTCTTCTGGTTCTTTGCATGACTGATTCCTCGTCCTTCACGTTCCTCAAATAAATATCACTTCCTCGGCAAGGTCCCCCTTTTCCTCCTTGTCTAAAGAAGCCCACCGGTCACTAAACACCATCTGGAGCATTGCTTCTGAGGCACATGGCACAGTTTGCAAGGGCCACGTGTTTGTTCCGTAAGCTCCCTGAGGGCGGGGGCTGTGCGGTTCTGTGTGCTGCGGAGATGGGGCACCTGCCAGGAGGGCATGACTGCTTCTGTTGCCATGGTTACTGTGGTTGCTGCTGCTGCTGCCCTTGTTGCTAGTTGCCATCCGGTCCAGGTGGACTCAATGCGACCCCACGTGTGCAGAGGAAAGTTGTCGAGGCTGTGTGACCCTTTGGAAGCAGCTCACCATGCCCGTCTCCGGAGACTCCCTTGAAGTGCGGAGTGCCACCAGAGATGCTCCATGGAGGGGGGGGTGAGGCCGGTGTCCAGCTGCGCTGCCACTCGCCCTGTGCCCCACCCCCCAGAGAGATCGCCTCTGCCTCACTGGTGCAAAGGTACCCTGCGTGCCTGCCGTGGCCAGTGCCGGCAGCAGTCTGGGCTGTGTCCGTTTTGTTCCCACACACTAGCCCTTAGTGTCCCCACCACCCCAGCCTCCAAGTCTTCCCAACGGCAGACCAGTTGCCTTCCGAGGCCGAGGGAGAGATGAGGAGTGAGTGCCCCGGGAGCCCAGTCCCCCCAGTCCTCTCCTGGCCTTGCTGGGCCTCCATTCTTCCATCTGTAAAATGGGGCTTCCCCACACCTCCTAGGGGTAGATTCTCTCTGAGCCTGTTATTCAGCAGGCGGTCACGGGGTCAGGGGCTGGGAAGAGAGACCAGGCCTGGCTGCTTCAGGCCGCCTTACCCGGTCTTGCAGCTCCAGAGGAGGGTGTGGGCACTCCCAGCCTCCTGTCAGCTCCTCTACCTACTCGGGCCCGGGGGCAGCCCTTATATGCTCACGGCAACTCTGGGGACACAAAGGGGGCACCGTTCGCCAGAAACCCGTCAATGTGTCACATCAGAAGCAAATTGTGGTTTGCCCTGCAGGCCTGGCCTAAGCCTTCCTCCCAGGGGAAGAGTGGCAGGGGAGTGAGGGGGCTGTGGGGTCTGTGCCCAGAGCTGGGGGTGGGGCTCTGTCACTAACCCAGTCAGCTGCACCTGGGAGGTCTTTCGCCAGGTTGCCCCAAGAGCTACCTAAAGGGGCACAGAATCCAGCCTGTTCCTCCCCACCCAACTGAGACCCAGAGGCCCTGGGGCCTGGAGAAAGACCCTCTCAGTGGAGTGGGGGTGGGGCACCAAGTCCACAACCCCCCCCCCCCCAAGACCCGATGCCCCCAGGCACCAGAGCAGGCTGCCCTCATCCCCTTTCCAGAAGCTGGTGCAGGCGGTGGTGGTTAGAAAATCACTCCACGCGTTCATTCCTTCAGGGACTTCTGGAGTCCCTGAATGTCCCAGATGTCCCGGATGTCCCTGAATGTCCCGGATGTCCCTTGGACATCAGGATGGGCAGGGGCGGGGGAGGGGGAGAGGGATGGCAAAGCCCCTGCCCTCAGGCAGCTGGCTGGAGAAACGTAAGCGATGAGCATTAGAGGCTGTGCTCAGAAACCGGAGTAAGAAAACAGATGAAAAGATTTGAAGAGTATATTTTGTGTAACCCACCCAAAAGAAACCAAAAACTTCATGGCCATCGGGCGATGCCGACGCCTATAGCAACCCTGTAGGACACGGTAGAACTGGCCGGGGGTGTTCTGAGACTGTAGAGTAGAAAGCCCCGCCTTTCTCCCAGTGTCCCTAAAATATTCACCTTTAGCATGTCATCAATACGAATGTATGCACGAGCTCGCTGACATTCTTTGTCCTCGTAGAGGCTCCCAAATCCACTCCCATCACCCCTTCCACCCTCCGAGCACTTAGCAGTCTCACGTGCAATACATCATGAGAGAAGCCACAACCACTGCCATTACGTGGATTCCGGCTCACAGCCACCCTCTAGGACAAGGTAGAACTGCACCTGTGGGTGTCTGAGACTGTAATGCCGTGGTTCTCAACCTTCCTAACGCCGCCACGACTCTTTAAGACAGTTCCTCATGTTGTGGTGACACCCAACCATCAAATTATTTTTGTTCCTACTTCATAACTGTAATTTTGCTGCTGTTGTGGATCGTCATGCAAATATCTGATATGCAGGATGTATTTTCGTTGTTGCAAATTGAACATCATTAAACATAATTAAAGCATAGTGATTAATCACAAAACAATATATTGTGAGATATTTATGTGTTTTCCAATGGTCTTAGGCGACCCCGGTGAAAGGGTCGCTCCACCCCCAAAGGAGTCATGACCCACAGGTTGAGAACCGCTGCTGTAATGCCTCACGGGGGCAGATAGCTTCATCTGGCGGGTTTGAACTGCCAACCTTGCAGTTAAATGCCCCAACGCTTAACCCAGAGCCCCAAGAGAGAGCAAGTAGCACTGCCCAGTGAGTCTGCTGATGGCAAAGGCCAGTGGGGAGGGGTATGGTGACCAGGAGGTGCTGGAGGGAGGCCGAACATTGGAGCAAGTGTGCTGCTGGCTTAGAAAAGACAAGGGAAAGAGTGGGGTGGGGGTCCTGGGAAAGGGTCTTTCAGGCAAAAGGAACCCCAACTACCATGGCCCCAAAGTGGGGCATTCCAGGAGCAACAGGAAGGGCGGTGAGGCTAAATGGTGGTGCGGGCAATGAGGCCAAGGCTGGGTGCTACCTGGCAGGACCGTGGCTTTTAGTGACAACTCTTCTGCAAACACGGTTTAGTCATCACCTCCTCCGGGAAGCCTTCCCTGACCCCCCAAAGTGGCTGGGTGCCACCTCGGCCCCCACAGCCTCCTGGGACGCCCTCTCTTGGGTCTGCTGTGCGCTGGCGGGTCACGGTGGGTCTGTGTGGTTTTATTTGTGGGTCTGCCCCCTGCACGGGATCTGGAAGGGAGCAGGGAAACAAAATGAATTGAACCGTAGGGAGCAGTTTCTTCCTGCCCAAGAAGCTGTGCTGGACAGCGGTGAAGATAATGGCACGTTGTCGGAGTGGGTGCGGGGCAGGTTCCTCAGTAAATCTCTGGACACCATTCACTCTGACGGTTACCTAGTCACCACCCAAACCACTCTCTGTATAGAAACTTTTTTGACTTTCTAAGTTGCGGCACCCAGAGCATGAGCAGAAAGGGGCCCGGCATAATTCATCCTTATAAACTGGGCCTCCCACCAGGTGTGGCCTCCAGGTCACTACCTCTGAGGTAACCGCTGTCCAAGGACGTGGATGAGACCAGGTTGGTCTGGATCACCTCGATGGGCATGGGCACTTTTGCAGGTGGGTCTCATGCACATCCTCGTCAGTGTTAGCCCCCAGCTTGTAGCAGCCCTGCGTACAGCAGCGCCAGGTCTTCAGAGATCACCAGGCCTTTCTGCCTCGTCCGTCTTGGTCCGTCTTGGTCCGGCAGCTCTACTTCACTGGCCCAGCATTACAGGCACGTGCTCGCCTCCCTCAAGGGTGGTGGTCATGCGTTGGCTGGGAGGTAGACACCCCCCCACTTTCACGCGCTGTTGTCACTGGAAACCCATGTGAGAACTGGGAGGAGAACTGCCCAGTCAGGTTCATCTTGAAAGAAGCCGATCCAGAGGGTTTCTCTCACCCGGGGGCTGGGTGGGCTTGAACCTCCAGCCTTTGGGCTTGTCGTCAAGGGTTTAACCCCGTGTGCCACCAGGGCACCGATTCACCCATCGTGTGTAGGTGAAGCAATGCTCCGCTCTTTTTCTTTGCTGCGTACTACTCCATTGTGTGAGGCGCCCCAGCTTCTTCTCCATCCTCCTGCGTAGAGACGGACGCCTGTTTCCAGGTGCTGGCTGATTTGAATGGAGCTGCTGTGAACCTTCCCGCGCTGACTGTGTTTGCAAACGCTGTGTGTTTACTTTTTTGGCTCTCTCAGCCTGGAACTGGTGGGCCACAGGAGTGCACACAGGGGTCCAGCCCTGCTGGATACTGTCCCCGTTCCCCCAAGGTGGCTGGGCCACTGGACAGTCCCCGCCGCAGTGCGCTCAGCGGCATCCTCGCCAGCACCCGGTACAGCCAGTATTCCCTCTTCGTCTGAGGGAAGAGGAAGGCTCGCCCACACCAAGGATTTATTGAGCACTTATTGTGTCAGGGGCTCGCATGGGATCGTCCATCTAGTCATCGGACACTGCTATGTCCCCATTTATATTCCAAGGCCCAGCCTCAGCAAGGGGGAGCGGCTTCCCCAAGGGCATATAGGAGGCCAGCCAGGCTGGCGGATCTAGCACTGGCCATCTTCCCTAGCTGCCCCCTCTCTGTGTGCCCTTGGGGCAGTTGTTCCTCCTCTCGGAGGGAGCCTCCACTTCCCCGTCCAGAGTGATGGGCGTCTTCCAGATGAGCAGCG